ATGAAATTGATCAAAGTCACAGCTGTGGAGACGGATGAGGTTGAACATTCAGTTGTAACTGGTGAAGTTAGGTCTGTTAAGTTTAAGACACTCCTCAGCCTCGCTGTCGTCGTCTTCGTCACAGCTGTCCTCCTCTTCCTCGCTGTCTGACTCATCGTAGAAGTTTATGGTGGCCTGCGCTGGGAAATTTCTGAGCAGGGCCTCGCCATCACTGAAGAGGTAGTCGTATGACTTCGATCTGGGCCAATACAGCCTAAAGTATGAAGAAATCAAATGTTAAATACAAACTACGCAAACAGAGCACGGAAACGCATTATTTAGCATGGTAAAATAAGCCTTATTTGGAACGGATTAGGATTTTAGGGCCAAAATAAAAGCATGTTACAAAACAAAACCATTGCTCAAGCTAAATTAAATGCTCACTGACCTGACAGGGTGCTGGAAAGACTGCATTTTGCCATCTGTTGTAGTGTTACTGGGCACTTCTGGCCTGGAGTAAGGCTGGAAAGAGTGAGAAAAGACGTGTAAGACCACATGCACCAAACACAACTCAAACAATGCTTCCTGTCCAGTGTTTATGAGGTGATATCACTGCCAGCTTTGTGGGTGTATAACACCCTGGGCAGGATGCAAAAGCTGTGACATGGAGGGTGTCAGGCTAAAGTGTTTGTGGGAAACTGGCTCCAACTCCCTTTCCCAAACCTAGAGGTGTCTGCCTAAATCTTGGCAAGCGATCGCTTGGTCTCTGGGAGCTGTTTTCTCCTACACCTCGTCTCTGGGCACAGACTCAGTGTTCACACATTTAGACAGTGGTGCCATATGGCTAAGCGTCTCAGCGCTAGAGCTGCTCTCAGTTTGCCTTTGCGTCACTGAATGGGCTTGGTGTCAATGAAACACCTCCACAGTCACACAATCTGCTGCTTAATGCTCACCACATGCCTGTCTGTCACCTTAAAGCTACCTGCTGCTCTAAAACAAACAAAAAAACAACAACTGTATGAGCCTCCACACACCAAACTGAAATTTCCGGCGCTGATAGTGGTAGCTACTGGAGTTCATTACGGCACCATGTGTTTTCTGAACTTAGTAACATTCCTATAGAGATGGGAATTCTTTTGAAATATTAAGATTGCAGTGATGGAAAAACTTACACAAGCCAGCTTGGTTCTCCTGCATTCAATTTGTGCATCCTTTCTGGTCACGAGCCACGGTCTCCACAGGGAAGCTGGGCTGTGGATAGAATGACAGTAATATTTTAGATGTAAAATCTAACAGGCATCCTCTATATAAAGAATAGAATAGAATAGAATAGAATAAAGCAA